AGGTAAGAGACTGACAAGTGTCAGAGAGCGAGATGACAGGTGGTAGAGAGTTGGAGAACAACTGTTAGAGAATAGGTCATTAAAACGGAGAGAGCAGGTAATGGAATGTGAGAGATTGGGAAATTGTGAGCTGTTAATAGAAAGTGGTGACAGATTATACAGAAGAGGCAACAGAGTGACAGAACAGATAATAGAGGGTGAGATCAGCTAATAAAGAACAGTGGTAGAGAGTGAGAGAACAGGTAATGGAGAATAGGTAAGGGAGAATTACAGAACAGATAGTAGTGAGAATAGGTAATAGAGGACAGGAAATAGAGAGCGAGAGAACAAGTGATAGAGAATGGGTAATAGAGAGTGAGAACAGGTAATAGGGTGGACAAAAACAGTAATTGTTGTCTCGGATTCTCCAACAAGGTTTTTCCTTAGAAGAGGCTTCGCAGTGGGGTTAAAATTGAATTTTCCTTAGAAGAGGCTTCGCAGTCAGCAGGTCTGGCACATCTGTGGAGAAAAGCAGAGTTAACATTTCGGGTCCCTTCTTCAGAAATGGGGTTAGGAGAAGGGATGGAGACAGACGGATGGGGAGGTTTGGAAAGTTCCCGGTGAGGATGGGTGCCTCTGAGTTGTTGCAGCTTGTGTCCCTTAATGCCTGAATGGAAGAAAAAAATTTCTTGTTGGAACGTCAAATGAACCAGACAATGAAGTGGAACTGTGGCAGGGTGGGCAGGGCAGCTCTGAGATAGCATGAGTCTCTACTGGTAGAGGAAGATGTTGAGAGTGTGCATATGGAAGCGCATGGCACTGAATGTGGATCTCAGGATACAGCAAAAACAGTTGTTTGAGGAATGTTGTATACCATGGAGGTACCTGTGAACCTGGGTGGATTTGAAACTACAAAGAATAAAACTTCAGTTGGAATCCACGTGGGGTGAGTCTGAGCCGGAGGCAGTGACTGAAGAATGAGATTTGGCTGTGGAAACAAGCTTTGACAAATACCTTGTTAAACACTAGGAGCAACAACAAAAGTTATGGTGATGGAAACGAAGAAAGATTAGGCCGGAAATCCCATTTGAAAGATGAACAGAACTTTTCCAAGGTGGGCATTCCTGGAATACAGATAGCTGTGAGTTAAACACCGAAAGAAAACAAAAAACTATGGAAGCTGTAAATCTGAAACAAACACAGAAATTGTTGGAGAAACTCAGCAGATCTAGCAGCATCTGCGGAGAGAAAGCAGCATTAAGGTTTCAAGTCCAGTAATCCTCCTTCAATATAGATGTGAGAGAACAGGTAATAGAAAGTGAAAGAGCAATTGACAGAGAACAAGTGGTGGAGGAAAGGTAATGGAGAGTGAGAGAACAAGTGTTGGGTAAGAGCGGGATATGACGTTCAACTCATCAATCGAAAGTTCCGACATGCCACAGCAAAAAACTATAATGATCTTCTCAGAAGATAGACAGGGTCACGACCGATAGAGTACCCTTCGTCGTTCAATATTTCCCCGGAGCAGAGAAACTACGCCGTGTTCTTCGCAGCCTTCAGCATGTCATCAATGACAACGAACATCTCGCCAAGGGCGTCCCTACTTCTCCATTACTTGCCTTTAAACAGCTGCCTAACCTCAAACAGACCATCATTCGTAGCAAACTATCTAGCCTTCAGTGGAACAGCGACCACAACACCATACAACCCAGCCACGGCAGCCTCTGCAAGACATGTTAGATCATCGAAGGCTACTACCTCAGACATCAGAGTGTCAGCCACCAGGTACGCAGTACGTACCCATGCGACTTGATCAACGTTGCCCATTTCACACGCTGGGGAAAAGGATGCCCCGAGGCATGGTACATCGGTGAGGCTATGCAGATGCTATGACAACGGATGAACAGACACCGCGTAACAATTACCAGGCAGGAGTGTTCTCCCCCAGTTGGGGAACACTTCAGCGGTCAAGGACGTTTCAGCCTCTGAACATCAGGTAAGCGTTCTCCACGGCAGCCTTCAAGATGTATGACAATGCAGAATCATCGAGCAGACACCAATAACCAATTTCTGCACTCATGAGGATGGCTTCAGCCGTGGTCTTGGGATCATGTCGTGCTACATGTAATTCCACCATACTGTTTTGTGCTTGTAAAACCTTCCTAACTGTCCTGTTTTGACACCATTACTTTGACTACTTGTGATTATCTTTCTGCCTTAATTAGTTTGTACAGTTCTTGATTACTTGTTACTTTTGTTAGACTCTCATCATGCGACTGATACCTACTCATGTTCTTCCAGCCAACTGGTTTCTCTTTAGCACCACCTTCTGATTACTTGTAATTATCTCTCTGTCTTATTTAATAGGTTCATAGATCGTTTCTTCACTTGTTATTCAGCCTGTTGACATACTCACACTGTTTGTATTAATCTGTTGACATTCTTGATTACCTGGAATTATCTTGTCATTATCTCTCCACCTATACATACTGTGCCTATGCGCCCCTCTCCATGTTACCTGACGAAGGAGCAGTGCTTTGAAAGCTAGTGATTTTAAATAAACCGTTGGACTATAACTTGTGTCATTTGATGTCTGACTTTGTCCACCCCAGTCTAACACCAGCACCTCCACATCATGGAGAAGAGCTAATAGACAGTGAGAGAACAGCTAAAAGAGAACAGATCACGGAGAGTAAGAATTGGTAATAGAGAACAAGAGAACCGGTTATACAGAATGGGCATTAGAAATTGAGAAAGCAGGTTTAAAAAAAAACGGGTAATAGAAAATGAGAAAACTAGGTAGCCGAACAGGTGATAGAGAGTGAGTGAACAAGTAATCAAGAACAGATATTAGAAAATGAGAACACAGGGTAGTTGAGAACAGATAATGGGGAGTTAGGTTAACTAATAGAGAACAGGTAACTGAGGCCAAGAATCACTTGTCTCATTTGGCCCTGATATTTCATTCAAGCCAGTGTACATCTGATGTGTGCTTTTTTGTGAAAGTGCACACTTAAAGCACATGTGCAATTTATATTTTGAAGTTTCTACATCAGGGATTTACTATCCCTAACAGATTATGGAGATTTAAAGGGCAGCCAGTAATAGTAGTATATTCAAGTACTCAGGGCCCAGAATGCAGTGTCTATTTCTGGTTGCCAAGGCATAATTCAAGCAGTGGGGAAAAAAATTACATAGGTTTACTCTCTAGCATTAATACTACCTGATAAATTCAGCAAGTTTTAAACAAGAATAATATGCATAATTGAATACATGTAACATTCAGTGCAGCATAGATATAATACTTAGTTGAAGGGTTCAGGGCAGAGCAGTGGAAACCATTATTTGCAATGCCATAAGCATGTGGAATGTACCATCAGCAATTATGTACTATCTTGGTTGAAAAGATTAAAAATCTGAAAATGGAATGTGATTAGGACAGTTGTTTGAGATTGCGCACAAATACAGATTGTTGAGCCAGATGGTCTGTATCCAAGTTGTAATTTCTACGTAATTCAAAATATTTTGTACTTTAAATACAACTTTGAAGAGTATAAATGATACAGCAACTCTCACGCTGCTCATGTTGGATCAGTTTTTATGTGTCCTGTTTATTTTGAATTCTGTCCTTCAATCTATAACGCATCTTTCTACTATAGGATTATACTTCCTGTTTCCATGGCAACAGCACAACAAATGCGGACTTCTGAGAAACAAATATCTGGGGTAATATTTCTATTCATACTAAAATACTATTGCGTAGTTTATTAGCACAATTTATTACTGGATATTTTAGACATTCAAATTAAATTATAAATTACATTTTGTGTATTAGCTACTGTTTATTTCATTGCCATTTTAGTGGAAACAAAAAAGAATTCCTTATACTTAGAAGGCATAAATGAGTGCATAATCCATGTGTCAATGCAAATGCATTTCTTTATCTTAAATATCTTATTTGTACGTACTTTCTGTCTGAAAGTGTTGGTGAGCATTTCACATATTTTTCCCATCTTAAATCAAACTGAAGAGTAAAAATGAATTAACGGGATTATTTTTGATTGTCCGTTGTCTCTGCCAATCATTGAAAAGCTCTGTTGTGATTATAATTTCAAATATTCAGTTAAAGGAGTTCTGAAGAAGAATCAGATCCAACTCAAAACATGAATTCTGTTTCTATCTCAACAGAAACATCCAGATATTTGAGTATTTTCAGCCTTTTTGTTTCTCGTTAAGATTTTGGATTCGATTATTAAGGATGAGCTTGTGGAGTTCTTGGAACTGCATGGTAAAATAGGACTGAGTCAGGAAGACTTCATCAAGGGGCTATCATGCCTGACAAATCTGTTGGAGTTCTTTGAAGAGGTAATAAGCAAGTTAGACAAAGGGGAGCCAGTGGACATGATTTAGTTGGGCTGCCAGACCTTTGACAGGGTGCCACCTAAAAGGCTGCTAAATAAGATGAGTCCATCGTATTAGGGGCAAAAGTTGCTGGCATGGTTAGAGGAGCGGCTGACTGGCAGAAGGCAGAGTATGGATTAAGGGGTCTTTTTCAGGATGGCTCTGGTGACTAGGGGTCTGTGTTGGGATTAAAATCACTCGTTATACAACAACAATCTGGACGAAGGAACTGAGGGCATTATTGTTAAGTTTGTGGATGCCACAATAATAGGTAGAGGCACAGGTGATGTTGAAAAAGCAGAGAGGCTGCAGAAGGATCGGACAGGCTGGGGAGAGGAAAAAGAAATGTCAAATGGAATGTGAGAAAGTGTGAGGTTATGCACTTTGGTAGGAAGAATACAAATGTACTCTATTTTCTAAACGGGGAAATGCTTCAGAAATCTGAACCACAAAGGGACACGAGATTCTCTTAACATTAACAT